AATAAATGCGGTGAGTCGTTGGAACAAATCTTCGGGTCTCTCTGTAGGATCATATCGGATAGAATCAAAGTCAATAAAATGGCCACCAGTAATTTGGAAACCATAGTGGAGGCGGATTGTTTGCCAAATATCATCAACGGAGGTAGAGTTTTTAACAATAGTGTTTCTGGATATTACTGGACAAAAATTTGCTATCTGTCCTAACATCAACTCAAGAATGTTGACCTTTTGCTCACGGGTTTTCCTGTCAGCTTCGGCTACATCCTCACCGTCGTTCACAAAGCCTCTGTGGGTGCAGTTTTGGTCTTTTTCTGCCATTTAAGCCCAGCCACGAGAAACGGAGCAAAGTTCTTGTCTAAAGAAAGGCTGTAGATTAAGTTCTGTCTCCAGTTTTCAAATTAGTTTACAGTTTCATGTTTGGTAAGGCACCATTGTTTTGGCGCGTGGGTAGAATTTGTCATTGTCAATGTTTTTGTTTAATACACTTGCGTTCACGGTAATAATTCTATTACGAGATGACGTACACAGGTCTTTATCGAGCGTGGGACGTAAATTCGCTGCCACCACGCCAGTAAAATGGATGTAGATCAACACACAAGAGTATAATCAAATACGTGATTTAATATGAGCAAATGGCGTAGTACAGATAAATGGAGAAAAAATACATCATTTAGTCCGAAACAGGCAAAGTTCCGAATGTATGTAAATACACGGTCTTACACAGTCTGGCGCTGCTGTTTGCTGATGAAATTATTTGAGGTCATGACCTCTTATGAAATAACTTAAGTACATTATACAAGGTTTATAAGGACTTAATATCAAGCTTTATTTGGTTTTCTGTCAATAAAAAATCTCCCTCTTTTTGAAGTAAATTCCCTCTTGAAAAAAAGTTCACATGTATGTACATGTTATGCATAAAAAAAAAGATTGAATGTCTTAATATCATGACCTGAGATCTGAGGTCAATGTGCTTTGTATCTGTTTGAGCCCTAGAATTCAGACTGGCATCGCATCATTCTGAGGTTCATTTGTAGGTCAATCTAGAGAATTTTCCTCAAGGCCTAAAAAATGTTTCATTTGTTTTTGGTAATTTCAGGTGATTGTTTTTCACTGAGACTCATTTAAGTATCTGTTGTATTATATTTATATGAGAATATAATAATAAAATATAGAATAGCCTGATCGATTGACTTGTAATTGTCTTAATAGCCTGAACAGCTGCATAACCACTTTCTCTGATCTGAGTTTTTTTTCTTCTTTTTTCTTTCATAAGGTAATATTCAAATATTTTTTCAATAGAGAAACACTAAGAAAATAACAAGTTACATGTTAAATAAATTTGAAAATATTTTATAAATGTGGATATGGCTGAAATTATTTTTCATCTTATTTTACTTTATAATCTTTGATAACTTAGCATTTTACATGAAGGAACAAAACTTAAAGAGTATAACTTGCTTGTCTTTATGTTATTTTGTCATTTTTAACCCAACTTTTTTTGAAAAAAAAGTAGAGGTATTGTTGTGGCGGCGTTGCCGTTACCCTAGTTGTTGCCGTCCGCAAGCTTGTACCTGGATCATAACTTTTTAAGTTCTTGGTGTATTGTCTTCATAACAACCCTTTGGACAAGACCTTTCAGTAGACCACACTTACCTTGACCTTCATCCATAAATGACCTTGACCTTCAAGGTCAAAAGTCCAAATTTTTGACCACCACCACCATGCGGACCACCAATACTGTGTGGACCACCACCACTGTGTGGACCACCACCACTATGTGGACCACCATCACAATGCGGATCACCTCCACTATGCGGACCACTACTGTGCAGACCACCACCACCATGCAGACCACTAACTTGTGGTCCACCACCATCATGTGGACCGCCACCAACATGCGGATCACCTCCACCATGCGGACCGCAACCACCATGTGAACCGCCACCAACATGCGGACCACCATGCGGACCGCCACCACCATGCGGACCACCACCACCATGTGGACCGCCACAACCATGCGGATCGCCACCACCATGAGATCGCCACCACCATAAGGACCATCACCAACAGGCGGACCACCACCTCCATGTGGACCACCACTAACATGCGGACCGCTACCACCATGCGGACCTCCACCAACATGCAGACTATCACTAACATGCGGACCATCACCAATATGCAGACCGCCACTAACATGTAGACTGCCACCAACATGCTGGACCACCAAAATGCGGACCACCACCAGCATGTGAACCACCACTACACCATGCGGACCACCACAACCATGCAGACCATGTCACCTTGGGACTGCCATCACCATGCGGACCACCACTACCATGCGGACCACCTACATCATGCGGATCACCATCACTACCATGTGTACCACCGCTTACATGTGGACCATGGCCAACATGCGGACACCACCACCATGCAGATCACCCACCACCATGCTGATCACCGTCATTTGGACCACCACCACCATGCGGACCACCACCACCATGCAGATCACCACCACCATGCGGACCACCGTGGACCACCACCACCATGTGGACCACCACCACCATGTGGACCATCACCACCATGCGGACCAACACCAACATGCGGACCGCCACCACCATGCGGACCTCCACCAACATGCAGACCATCACCAACATGCGGACCATCACCAACATGCAGACCGCCACCAACATGCGGACTGCCACCATCATGCTGGACAATCGCCAACATGCGGACCATCGCCAACATGCGGAACACCACCAATATGCGGACCACCACCAGCATGTGAACCACCACCACACCATGTGGACCGCCACCACCATGTAGACCACGTCAACTTGGGACTGTCATCACCATGCGGACCATCATTTATATATATATATATAGACAAAACTAATGTGACAAGACATGCCGATTAAATTTACATTTCATCAAAACAACATTTTGCCTTTTTCCTCAATGTAGTTAAAGATACAATTTTTCCCATTTCTATAAGAGTGTAAGATAATTAACCTGAAATGTTAACTTTCTGGTCAAGTTGACTAGTATACCTATGTTATCTTAAATAAATATTGATCCGTGGTGTCATCCTGACAAACAGTAATCATGTATATCTAAATACTGAGATTATATAATTATCTAATTTTTTAGGTATTTAAAAAAAAGAAGAAAGATCGCAATTTTGAAAAACAGTCATAGGCAAATTTTATCACAAATTAATGGATGGATGATCACAAAACTTGGTTCTTATCATTTTTACTATAAAGAAAAAAAACAATCAGAGTCGGGAAACCTTATAACTAGAGAGGCACGTTGAAGTTGAGCTGGACTTGTCTTTCTACAAGTTTATTTGAAAAAAATATTTCTATAATCACTGAAAAACAGTTGTTTCTGGTGAGCGATTCAGGGCCATCATGGCCCTCTTGTTTTTATTTTCTTTTTTAATAAATTAATGTTCATTTTATAATATATTCAGGGATATTTCATTTTCTATACCCACCATTTCATATAATTTATCTTTAATTTATCTCGGAAAAAGATAAATATAAATCTGTAATAAATCTCTATGATTTTATAGTAGTACATGTATTATATTATATCTACAAAATGTACTTCGATTTAAACCTTATTTAAAAATTGAGTAACAATAAATGGTCTAAGGGGACCAATTTCAAGTTTATTTTACTATATTTAATCAGGGTCTTTCAAATAGAATGGAATGTTTTTAATTTTATATACATGTATTTTGTAGACCTTACCGTACGTTAAGGGAGAGAACTCAAATCTTCCTATTGAACTTTTTTTTTAAATCGCTTTTCCTTTGTTAAAGGTCATGCAATGAAATGATAGTGTTCACAGCAATTAATACTCCAAGGGAGATAACTTGCTCAATTGATTTGGTTTATTAGATACATATTTCTCTCCTTTGAGTGTAAACATATCTTAATTAATTGGTATAAGAGAGACAACTAGCGCATAATTACATTTTAGGTACCTGTTTATGTCCCCTTATTTATATATTCATCAGTTATTAGAGTAAAGAGCTGTGATCATTTAAGGAAGTTTCATCTCGTCCGATTTCTGCGAAGCGACCAGTCCCGTTTCTGCAGGCATGTTCGTTTGAAAGCTCTGGTGGATCCGGAAATGTAAAATGTTTGGAGTATACGTCAGTTCGCCAATTAAACGGCTGCTCCTCCATAAAGTTTTTGAAGTCCTTATGGAATGTAGAGTGACATTTTAATCTGAAGCACATTACTCGTAAATGTTTCTTTATTTTAATGTACTGAGGATATTTTTCATATAAATTTTATATGGTAATTCTACGGCATTATATAAGAAGTCTTCAGATTTATAGTTGGCTAATGCATCCTGCCACCTTTTCATAAAAGTAGCTCCTGGTTTTGCCATTAAAACACCTAGATTTATCGTATTTGGAAAATTACCCTGTTGTATATGGTCAAAGTTTGCTATGACGTCATATCCTTTTTGTATGATGTCATCTGGATTTTTGAGCCACAGGACATCCCAATCCATGTAGATATCTTAGTAAACATTCGGCTCGAACTATGTCACTACGGTGCTGAGTATAAATGACTTTATGTCCATACATACTAAAAGGTTTCTCCCGGTGTACAAGGATAACTCTTTCATCTTTTAATATTCTCTTATAGTAGCCTCCCTTTAGTTCACCGTCAGTGTGTATATATACTTTCTCTGGATTTAAAATAAACAAAGTGCTCGGCATGCTCAGACACATCATAAAATCCATTTCCTTTGAACCAAACCAGACGTAATGGACTATTTTCGGAATGGTTCCCGGTAGAATTGATTTAGCTTCTTTCTTTTCACTGGAACTATAGAGAATTGTTCTAACCAATTTACCGAAATGTGTATCTGATTCAAATTCATCCGCGGGGTTTAAAGGTGAATTTAAAACAAAGCAAAGTACATAACCTCTGTTCGTTTCTTCATTGAAAGTTGTACAGAACTGTGAGTTATTAGGAATTTCTTTTTTTTTTCAAAGATTCGTATAAACTTCTTAAAATTGTCGTCATGATCTTTCCCCATTGCTGTGGCAACGCGAGGATATTCGGATGATTTGTAATAAAACAGTCATATCATGTTTAAGGAATGATACCACTTCCTCTGTTATGACGACATTTTCATCCACGTAAATGACTGAAAATAATTGAAGAAATAACTTAGTATAGATACAAGGCAGAACATTAGGCCATTGAAATTTTATGACATAAGTGGACTTCAAACCACTGGACCCTTGCCGATGTAGGTTCGAATCCCAACAAGGACTTTAGATTCTTTCATGTGAGAAGACTAATATAACTTTCATAGATAACCACCATTTATAACCACTATATCTAACTATGACACAGATCCAATTTGAAGCATTATAAGCAATGGGGGACAACAATTTTACTCTATTCTAATCCATGACTCATAGTATTCCAATTACAACATTTTGAAAGACACTGATTAAGTTAATCGGGAACATGTTACTGTCCCCCCACTTTAGTGGCGGGCATTTAGATTTACCCTTGGCCGTCCGTCCGTCCGTTCTCTTTTGTGTCGCACGTAACTTAAAAATTATTTGACCTAGAGTCATAAAACTTTACAGGAATATTGATCAGCATGTGTAGTTGTGTACCTGGGTATTTTCTTGTGGATTTATTTAGCATTTTTAGAGTTATTGCCCTTGACTTAGAAAAATTTGCAATTTTCATTTTGTGTCGTATGTAACTCAAAAAGGATTTGACGCAGAGTCATTAAACCTTACAGGAAGGTTGCTCAGCATATTTAGTTTTGCACCTGGGGTTTCGCTTGTGGATTTATCCAGTATGTGTAGAGTTATTTCTCTTGACTTAGTAAAACCCGTTTCATTATGTTGTTATTTGTTCCTTGAGTGCTTGAGTTAGAATCAACCAACTTTACAGGAATAATGATCAACATCACTAAATTACAGGAATAATGATTCACATCACTGTGAAGCTATGAACCTGGGACTTTGCATGTGGATTTTTTTCAGTTTTGTTAGAGTTATTGCCCTTGACTTACAGTAGTATAAATTTGCAATTTTCAACTTGTTCATGGATAGCTCAAAAAGTATTTCACTTTTTGGCCTGAAAGTTTACAAGAATGTTGGTCAGCATGTGTACTTATGCCCTTTGGGTTTGCTTGTGGATTTATTCATTATTTGTAAAGTTCTTGCCCTTTACTTAGTAAAAGATTTTTAGTTTTCAAAAAAAAATTGACCTAGAGTCATAAGATTGACAACACAGTGGCGCGGTCGGGGCACCCGTGTCCTATGCACACATTTCTAGTTTTTGTTGCAGTCTTTATTAGTTCGTTGTAAACTTGTAAAAAGAAAAAAATGACTGAATAAGTCACCATTTATGAGATATATTAGAAGAATTATCGGTAATGAGGCTCAAACCTACCACCCCTGTCATCAATGGCCGCAAGGCCGAACCAAAACCCACAACCGTTATCGTCGCCGTCCCAATTTGGTGGAGTCTCCTTCATTATAAAATTTGGAATAGTTTTCTTAATTTCGGTAAGCCAATCATCATACTTGTCAGATTTTGGCGCCACCTTTTGGTGAAATTCTATGATATCCGGTCTCAGTATCTTCCAGACGCTCATTATACTAAGATAGTTCCGATAGTCGAATATTTTGTCATCACACCACACGTAATGAACAGTATTTATGACCTTGTTTCTGCACAGCTCACTTAATCCAGAATTCCGGAAACCAACAAGTTCGTGTAAAACTATTTCCGCTTCAAAATTGTCTGATATTTTCATATCCGCTTTTATGTCCGTGTCAGGGATGGAAATAAGTCCTCCAAAGTAGCTAACAGCACTAAGACTGTCAAGGGCACAGAATATAGCTATCTCGTACACTAAAGTTAGGCACACAGCAACAAATATGGCACTCAAAATATATGCACGAAATGTGCATTTGCACCTCTTCCTAGATTTTCCCATTTCTAATACTTATACGTTTCTGAAAGACAAAAAAAATAGATAATCGAGTGATATAATATGCAACAATACAACGGCTCTGCTGTCTATCTTCTAAAAGAATTCTTTCTTTAAACAGTAAAATATCGGTTTTGTAGATTTTCATAAGTATTGCACATTCTCTTATTTGCAAGAAACAATCGAACAAATGACTGTAAATTATTAATCGTTCCGATATACAAACGTCTGGAAGTTCGGAAAATCGGAATATTACTATAATGTGATAAACCGTGGTGTAACATCATAATTACTTTATCATTTACAATTATTGCAAGTCTATAAATAATAATTCCAATAATAATGTTATTGGATAGGCGTAAAATGCAAATTAGTAAGAGTATATAAAGTTAAAAATGGTCTCCTTTCACAAAACCTAAAATATATTTTACCAATGTTAGTTTCAGAAACAACATATTATTCACTTAAGCTTGGGACAATAACAATTATATACAACCCCAGGTGCATCGAAACGTACGATAAGTCATTTATATACCGTCCGCTACCGAATTACTGAATAGATGAGACATTGATGTTCGCGAATCAATGAATATTTTCAAATTAAGATTGTAAGAAAAGTTTAAAGCCCCTAAAGTACCTAGACATTTTTTTGGTTTGCTCAGTCTAATATGCTAGCTTAAGGTGCATACTGACCTTTAAAAAAACATTAATATTAGCATATTAGACTGATATATACCAAACCAAAAAAATGTCTAGGTACTTTAGGGGCTTTAAACTTTTCTTACAATCTTATTTTGAAATACAAATAAGTATTATGCGGGACGAGGATACATAATTTTACAGTACATGTACTTTAAACTTTGATATCAACAACACTGTTAAGTCTCATGTTAAAATAAAATCAAGAAGTTTGTTTGTTGTTGTTGTTGTTGTTGTTGTTGTTGTTGTTGTTGTTGTTGTTGTTGTTTTCTTATAACACTAGATAATGATTTTTTTATAATCTAACAAATACACAATATTTTCTATATTAAATACGATTTTAAGTGCTCATTTGCTTTCTTAATGAGACTATAGATAACATTAGTTGCGTGATTTGCAATAGCTTTTTTGGTGGTAAAGAAAAACACACTTCTGCTTATAAAAAATACCTAGGTACTTAAATTCTGAAACAATCTCAATATTTCATTTTTGAATTTAGAGGTGTAGTTTCCATAATCCCCTCTTGAAAATATAAGAATTTTAATCATAGAAGTATTCAACATTAATCTATTTTTCATATACAGCTAGAGCTTTTTGTAAATATGATGTTGATAGGTCAAGTGACTGCATTTTGCTACAATTTGTCATATGTTGTTTTTTATGGATCTAATTCATACCTGGACAAATGAACACTAGATATTATTTTCGTGTGCATGTACATATGTTTTCATATAGATCTTATTTTCGTATAGAAATTATTTAAGTTTAGATATTATTTTCATAAAAATCTTATTTTCGTGTAGAAATTATTTTTATATAGATATTATTTTTATATAGATATTATTTTGAAATAGATATTATTTTTATACAGATCTTATTTTCGTATAGATATTATCTCGTATAGATCTTATTTCCATATTGATAATAAATAGATGATTTTGGCGCGATTTTAGCTACAGTTTGTGTCAGACACGTTTGAAGATAGATGATTTTACTTATTTGCCACTCCCATTATTATTGCTATCTTATAATTTATTGTATTCATATTTTTATTTTGTTTTTAATTTTTTACGATAATTTATAAAAATGAAATAATAATACTATAATACTGTATAATAATAGTTATATTTGTTGCGTATTCTATAAAAGTAATATCCGCGGCAGACAGAAGATGCCGAAAATGACTCGTTATTTTCAAACTTACAGTTTTTCTTCTTCTTTTTTCTTTATCTGATAATTAATAATGTTAAGATAATAATGCATGAAAAAAATCGTAAAGATTGACCCATAAATAAAATTATAAAGTTATAAGTAATGTAAGTAGTCTTGATTAGAGTTCATCCGCCCGTGTATGGAACAAAAAGTAGCTTTCGCTGTCGAGTACGTATCCCGGACATGTCATCAGTCTTACCTTAATATTATATATTTCATATTTATATTAATAATCAATTAACGTTAAAATACGTTTTTAATGCACTAAATTATAAATAAATCTTATTTTTGTAGATCTAGTGTCAATCTTATTTTTCGCCTTCGGTATCCAACATAACGTGTAGATCAGGATGGTTTAATATTAGTGTAACAGATCGATTTTTCATTAACTTTCAAAAAAAACATAATTTGTTTACTTTCCACAACGCTTTATTTCATGGAGGCATCCATTTTGATTGCCTTGCCAAGTGCATTATATAAGAAGTGATTTGATTGGCTCTTATCATTATAATAAACGAATCGATTTTTAGATTATCTTTTTGAATAACCAATCAATTGTTTGTTTATTGTCTGGAAGCAAATAAATAGCCGAAACTTGTCATTGATAGTTAGTTCGGTGCTGTACCGTCTAGGTCAGTACAACAAGGCTCAAGCCTTGACTTTAAATAAAGACTTCGGTCTTAGAGTAAACACTTTCAAGTGTTAATTTAAATCGACTGTATCTATCAATTTATTCATAAAGCTGTACTAATCATAAATAAGATTTAAATTTACTTTAAACTTATTTAATAAACTTTCATTATATGATATTATATAAACAATTGGGACTTGATTAAAAGATTGTTGTTTATTTAAATTTACTTAGTTGTTACTTGTATCCCAACAACAAACCCACAGAGTACATGTTCCTCATTACGGCCAAATTGTGATCGCTATATGTCCGAACGAATCTCATTTAAAACTGCCACTATTACATTAGTTACAAAAGTTACTTCCCTTTTAATTTTTCACATAACAAAACGAAAGTAAATAAGAAAAAAATGGACACTCTCGTTCAGTTAGTTGGTGGTTATAGGGAACGTGATAAATTAATACGATTATGTCAGTATGTTGCACGATTTCTGGCCGGTACAGGCCAGACCAATATGGGTGCTAGACTCGGCATAATCGCCCAGGAGTTCGGGAAATGCCGTACTGTACTGCGGTTATTTGATGACATTCCAATGCTTGCCTACACATTGCACTATGGTCTAGGTAAAAAGGTCAGTATTTAGTACGTTCCAAAGTTTGAAGTTAATCAGAGTTTAATATGTAGTATGTTTTGCTGTAAATTTGACAGATAATTGGACAGGTCCAACTCATTGAACTTTTGTTAATTTACTGATTAAATAATTAATGATTTTTAGAGTGATTTGAGTCAATGATTCTCTGTCTTTTCCACAGTTTTGCTTATCCTAAAGTCAAAGTGACCACTTTTTTACTGGGTATCTTGGCAGATGGGGGGTGGGAGAGTCTGGGTTACCAATGTGTGGTAACTATGATGCATTAATCAACAAAACGACAAGTATGTTAATTCAGCATTTCTTCTGCCTGCTTTATATCTGTTATCTTTTTAAACAGCAAAGAATTTCAATAAAAATTTTATACTTTCAGGAGTCTAACAGTGGGATACGCTTTCTGACATTATTGGGTAACTGTGCCAATCAGCTGTACTTCCCGTTAGAACATGTGTCATGGTGCGCCCAAAATAAGATCATTGATAGGCCACAAAGCAAGTGGGCTACAGCATGTATTGTAGCATGGGCAGTGTCACTCCTCACAGAAATAATAAAGTAAGATCTAAAATCTGTTTGTACACACTGAATGTGAGACTTAATGTGGAAGCCTATTTGTTAATGTATCAGTGATTTTTTTTTCGTGTATTTTACAGCCGAATAAAGGCTGTTTTCTGTAGCTCAAAATAGGTATATTTTCCCCTAATAATGCTAATATTTTCCCTAAAATGCCCTGTGCACATTCTTCACCAGAACCATGACTTAACAGCATCTGACTAATATCAGCTAGAAGATAAAGCTGTTCCTATAGATAGCCTCTGCTATGTACCATGCATGTTAAATTGAAATAAAATTGAAAAAAAAAAAAATGTTGGGTAAATTCGATTATTTGATTTCCCTTTTTTATGATTTATCATGCTATATTTTCCCCTTCAGAAAGCCACAGGTTGTTTTGAAAATTGCAAAAAAAATCACTGCAGTGTATCTACAAATGTATGCTTAAGCCAGGAACCATGGCAGTGCTGGCATAGTGGTTAATGTATCTAAGTCACTACCAGGAACCAAAGTGGTTTGCACACCCATATTAGATGGGAATATGCAACAGTTCCTGATAAATACTATTGATTTACACTGTGACTTTTGATTGCCTGAGTGCATTCACAAGCTATTTATAGACTTCTTTTGCATGTTAAAATTTGCATACAAACTTAAGTGTTACCATGGAGTTTTACTTTGAAAACCATCATTTCTGTTTTATATAATTATATTGATGAAATTTCTTTTTCAGAATGGTTAAACAACACTGTTATTAACATGTCTTGTTTTGCAGGGCCTTCATAAGAATAAATTTAAACAGGAATTCTCAGAAAAGATTGCTCAAAGAACAGCAGTTAGAAGCCCGCAATGAAAGGTATGATTATATGTTGATATATAGTTAATCTGGGTTCCCTCCCCTAACACTATTGCTTTCCTAAGTAGATATAGGCAGGGAACCAGAGTAATATTCAGTAAGTCTGGGTTCTCTTCTCTTACACTAAGTTTATCATAGTAAATATAGTCAGGGAACAATATAATATTCAGTTAGTCTGGGTTCCTTCCCCTTACACTAATGTTTATCATAGTTAATATAGAGAAGGAACCATAATAATTATTATGGTTGCCCTCCCCTTACAATAAGAAATGTTTAACGGCTTCCCCCCTGACGGTGTTTGAACACATAGGACCAGGGATCCTTATGTTACCTAATGTGTCAACCACTCAGCCATGCTGCTACTTATCTTTATCTTTAGTGTATTGGGCTTTTATTTCATGATAAAATTATAAAGGTAGGGGATATTTGAATGAGTGTAGATTTGATACTAAATTTATTAAATGCCTTAAATGAAATCATATTATGCAAGCCTCTATTTATCACACGTTCAAAAAGGGAACAGTTTCCAGTAAAAAAAAAAAACAACTTAAACTTTCATTGACTATAATGTAACGCCAACATTAGAGCACTTTAATGCTTTGACTCTATGTTTGTATATATAACGCAAATGATGTCACGTCAAAGTGTTATTATACTAGTGTAATATCGTTTTTGTGTCGCCTCTACGGAGTAGTGGCGACATAGGGATCACTTCTACGTCATCTGTCTGTGCATCTGTCTGTGCGTCTGTCCGTCACAAAACTTGTCCGGACTACTCCTCATAAACTACTGATGCAATTTCATCCAAACTTTACAGGAATGATCAGTACCAAGTCTAGTTGTGCATATTGTCAGCATTTTCTGGTTCAATGATTTTTGTCAGAGTTATGGCCCTTTAATAATTTTTATTTTTAAAGTTTGTCCGGACTACTTCTCTTATACCACCAATGCAATTTCAATGAAACTTTACAGGATTGATCTGTAGCTCAAGTCCTTGCGCATATTGCACGGGTTTTCTGGTTGAATGATTTTTGGCCGAGTTATGGCCCTTTGATAAAAAGGTGTTTTTTTCTGTGTGTTGCCAGATACACAAAAGCTTGTCCGGACTACTCCTCATAAACTACTGATGCAATTTTATCCAAACTTTACAGGAATGATCAGTACCAAGTCTAGTTGTGCATATTGTCAGCATTTTATGGTTCAATGAGTTTTGTCAGAGTTATGGCCCTTAAATAATTTTTATTTTTAAAGTTTGTCCGGACTACTTCTCTTATACCACTAATGCAATTTCAATGAAACTTTACAGGATTGATCTGTAGCTCAAGTCCTTGCGCATATTGCACGGGTTTTCCGGTTGAATGATTTTTGGCCGAGTTATGGCCCTTTGATAAAAAGGTGTTTTTTTCTGTGTGTTGACAGATACACAAAAGCTTGTCCGTAATACTCTTCATAAACTACTGGTGCAATTTTATCCAAACTTAACAGGAATGATCAGTACTAAGTATAGTTGTGCACTGTCCGTCTGTCTGTCCGTCTGTCACAAAACTTGTCCCAACATAAAATTGGCCATCATGAGGCGACAAATGTGATCACTGATCGCTCTTGTTATTAAATGGCTTTAGTAGGCTCCTACGCTGTGGTGTATGTGACAAAAATACAAAGCACATAAACCACGACACAGGAGTGTAATAAAGCCATTTAATAAAAACGATATTACACTCACTAGTGTAATAACATTTAGATATGAAGTCATTTGCATTATATATAAACATAGCATTAAGCGGGCTAATATATGCATTACACTATAGGTGTGTCATTGAAAAGTGACTCTTTTTTAGCTCACCTGTCACAAAGTGACAGGGTGAGCTTTTGTGATCGCTTTTCTTCCGGTGTCCGTCCGTCCGGCGTCCGGCCGTAAACTTTTGCTTTAAATGACATCTCCTCATAAACCACTAAGCCAATTTCATCCAAACTTCACAGGAATGTTCCTTTGGTGGTCACCTTTAAAAATTGTTCAAAGAATTTAATTCCATGCAGAACTCTGGTTGCCATGGCAACCGAAAGAAAAATCTTTAAATATCTTCTTTTAACAACCCTAAGAGATAGAGCTTAGATATTTGGCATGAAACATCTTCTAGTGAGTGTCTACCAAGTTTATTCAAATAAAAGCCCTGGGGTCAAAATTGGCCCCGCCCCAGGGGGTCATTGATTTTCCCTATATGCATATAGTAAAAACTTAAAAAGTCTTCTTTTAAAGAATCCAAAGAGCTAGAGCTAAGATATTTAGCATGAAACATCTTCTAATGAGTGTCTACCAAGTTTGTTCAAATAAAAGCCTCGGGGTCAAAATTGGCCCTGCCCCAGGGGGTCATTGATTTTCCCTATATCCATATACATGTAGTAAAAACTTAAAAATCTTCTTTTAAAGAATCCAAGGAGCTAGAGCTAAGATATTAAACATGAAACATCTTCTAGTGAGTGTCTACAAAGTTTGTTCAAATAAAAGCCCTGGGGTAAAAATTGGCTCCACCTCGGGGGTCATTGACTTTCCTTATATGTGTATAGCAAAAACTTAGAAATCTTCTTTGAAAAAAACCAAATAGCTAGAGTTTATGTATTAAGCATCAAACATGTTCTTATGGGTGTCTACCAAGTTTGTTCAAATAAAAGCCCTGGGGTCAAAATTGGCCCCGCCCCGGGGGTCATTGATTTTCCTTATATGTGTATAGCAAAAACTTAGAAATCTTCTTTGAAAAAACCCAAATAGCTAGAGTTTAGATATTAAGCATGAAACATCTTCTAGTAAATGTCTACAAAGTTTGTTCAAATAAAAGCCCTTGGGTCAAAACTGTTTTTAACTATATGTGTATAGTAAAACTTAAAAAATCTTCTTTTAAAAAACCCAATGAGCTAGAACTTAAATGTTTGGCATGAAACATCCTCTTATGGGTGTCAACCAAGTTTGTTCAAATAAAAGCCCTTGGGTTAAAATTGGCCCTGACGGGGGGGCCTATATACAGGTGAGGGACCTCAGGGCCATCATGGCCCTCTTGTTTACAGTTTACCTTCTAATTTTATATATGTGATAAATAGAATATTATTTCCTTGTAGATTCAATACTAAATTAATTGAACTCGTTGAATGAAATAATATATTGATCGCCAATGGCTCGCATAAAATAATTTTATTCAACTCATTCAATAAATTTAGTATTAAATCTACACTTATTCATTATCCTCTATTTACATTTACTTTGTATCCTCTATTTATCATGGATTTAGTGATTGAATATTATAGCATTTAAAACTCATAATCTTTCACAATATGTCAGTATGACACTTAGATTTCAAGGCCTTTACCTGTACTTTCAGCGACTCATCTGAGATGACGACTAACATACGAAGTCAAATACGTGCCTTAAAAAGTCAGGAGAGAGAACAATACTTGGCTATAGTTGAAAATTGTGCCGATCTTTTCAATGCCATAAATTGGCTCCCGGCTGGATATCTTTGGGCAGGTAAATTCACATCCAGATTTTGTGGCGGCATGGGAGCCATTTCCTCAGCAATAAAACTGTACCGTATACACAGTGCGAAATGGAATGTGTCATAATTGGGTACGAGACTGTTAAAGTTTTTATTATTTAATGAAAGATGCATAATGTATCCCCTTGTAGATGAAATAAATTCATGTTAAACATGGCCATTGTTTAGAATTTTGTTATATTGTTAAAGATGTATTAAGTTAAAGATTTAGTAATAAAACTTGTTTTGTTGTTACCAATGGCTCAAAAGGGCCAAATCGTTAAAATAATATTTGAATAGATTTTTTTCCCTGTTTTAAGCTTTACTGATATTCATTTTATATGATAGGACTATCCTTGTTTGACAAAGTTGAGCCGCATTTTTATACAAATTTTTTTATCAAGTTTGTTTTTGTACTACTGCATCTTTCACTTTACCCTTAGAGATATCACTTTGAAACATAGAAAACTGTTTCTTGTTCTCCACCATTTTTAGACAGGAATATATACATGTAACTGTAATATATGTCATGCACTTTGTCTTAATTATTCTCCCTTTTTCCCCTTTATAAAAAGGGAGTTTTAATTCTGCTATTCAGGGAATGGTAGACTGTGTTTTACTATAGACAGTTCTCATTAGAAATCATGTTCCAAAATAAAATATCTTGCTCATTCAATGCTGGTTATATATTATATGGCAGTGTCTCTTTTGATCTTGAAAATAAGACTTTTTTATGCTTCATGAAAGTTTTACATGATTATATATTACCTGGTTTATCATTTAGTCCTTTTTATTCTGTCACAAAAACAAAAATGTACATGTACTGAATATTCTCCTTTACTTGCTTGTCTTTTTTGAAGATTTAGTCAAGCTATTATGAATGTTGCAGCATTGTTAATGTTGTTGTTGTTGGCGTGCAAAAATTTTAATGTAGCACATTATTTTATCATTTTTAAAGTTCTCAACATAGATGTTAGATAAAGGGGCATAATTCTTAAAGCTATATTTTTTGGATTATGTAATTATTATCTAAGCCACAAAGTTTTCAACCTCGACAGAAAGTCCTTGATAAAGAGGAGTTTAACCCCTCAAAACGTTGGAGGTTGAAAACTTTGTGGATTAGATAGTCATAAATTAATTGTTTCCAGAGTGATTATTTTTTTTGGAGTTATTCCCCTATTTTAACTTAAAATATTTGTCAAAATTAGTTTGACTTAGTGTTAACATGGCGTGCATGCTCTTGTTGATTGGTATTATGTATGTGGGTATCATTTATGAACCTGACATGTCTTTACTTCATTGTGCCTGGCATGAATTTATTTTTGCACATACATCTGTCATATTACTTTTTAAATTTATTTATTCATGTAATAAAAGTAATATTTGTTGTCAGTGTTTTATTATAAACTTAAAATGATATTTTTTTCAATCACTTGAAAATCAAAAAAAATTTATGTGTATATTGTTATAAGTCCTATGACATGTGACACAGGGTTGTAAAAAAGGTGTAGCCTGATCAGAACTTAATTCAGGACCCTTAAGGGCTTTGGAATACCGGTCCGCTGCTATCAAGTTGCTTAAACATCTTACATCTCCCTTATAAGTGAACATTTCTGTATCTTGATATATAATATGGCTATGAAAACAGTTATTATAACAGGTAGGGGACTTTTGTATTGCTTGCAGTACTTTGATAATTATTGCCTATTATTAAACTATTTTGCTTTGAAGTATGTATGGAATGGATTTTACTAGGCCATGCTCTTATGTGGCACAGACGTATAAAGTGTGATGCGTTCTTGGACTATTGAAAATCTATGAGAGCCAAATTACAAGCATAAGGGGAAGAAACTCTTATTATTATCCCTGTGCTATATTGTCCCATATATTCTATGATTATGTTAGAAACATCTTTACTATTTTAAGTGACATTATGCTTATTTTTTTGTTGTCAAGTTAAGCTTTATTAGTTAAATTATAATATATTTCAAAAGATTGTCTGTAATAAGTGTTATTCACCTAAAATGGATAGTAGAAAATGGTATTTAAGGATAAAATATTTTAACTTCATGAAATACAAAAAGACTGCCCCAATCTATTCGTCAATTGAAGATTGCAGGTACATTTTGAAATATATTTATAGAATTATCCACATGGGTTTTTGATTGTTTTTGTAACTAAAAATAATTTTGGCAAAATGTATTTTTTTGTTTTAATTTTTTACTTTGACCTGTACATTCACTATTTACACGGGCATAATGTCACTTTAAGACATTAAAGATTTTCTGTCTGAATGGTTCTGGTTTTAAAACATGCCTTAAATTAAGAAAAATATGAACTTGTATGTATTAAACAGATATATTAGTGTTGTTTATGTAGTTTATATCCTATTTAACATTTTTACTTTTGCTTTATTATTAATAAAGATACTAAAATGGAGTATTCTGGAACTTGACCATTAGTAATTCCCTACAAGGAAACATGGTTGCTATAGTTACCCCAGTGGGTTGGACCTTGAGAAGCACTTAGCCACAAGGTCACATGATCTTACATCAGATAAATTGATTGTAACATACTGTAGGTTATGGTATGTGTCTTTGTTTGATATTCATAGGAATATAATTAGTTTATAAAGATCGTAAGCCGGTTAAATGACCCTTTATTATACTACACGTTTGTAAGGTCGCTTTCATTTGACAATTGTGGCGTTTATATTATTTTGAATACACAGCTTCTGTCATTTTACCAAGAAATCTCATTTTTTTCTCTAAAAAGGAAGTTTGCTGTGTTATAAATTTGTTAATAAATGAAGATTACAAACAGATTACATCCCTGTATATAAAAGGTTTCTTTTCAATATAACCCAAGCTGGTATATGCAAAATATTGTCTATATACTAGGGTTATATAACCTACCAAAAATCTTTATAAGTAATATTATGAATGATTGTTTATATATATAACCTAAGCCAGTATGCTAGGGTTAAATTGCAAATAACTATTAAAATATAACCTGTTAAGAATCCTTGTAAAAAATTTATAATATAACAAACTTCTGTTATTTAAAAAGCAATGAAATTTCTGCATAAATTGACAGAAGTTGTGTATATAGTTGATATAAATGTCATAACTAAATTTTATATAAATGTCTTAACTATCTACTGAAAAAGGACATTACAAATGTGAAGTATCATTTCAACTGTATGTAAAGGATGTATAGTATTATTGAAAGATGCTGAAAGCTAAAGATACAGAAATATATATGAATGTACGAAAGCAAAAAAAATTAATTGTTAAATTGTAAACGGTGGTGATGTATAGCAATTAAATATTTATATCAGAAGTTGTATTTTGACAATTACAAGTTTCAGGTGTAAAATATAATATATTTTCTGATACGCTCTTTTGGTATCTTTCAGGGTTTTTTAACCAGGTTTTCCGAAGGTAAAAACTGGTTATTAGATTGAGGTATGTCGGCTGGCGGGTGGGCGGGTGTAAACAATTTCTTCTGTGCGCAACTCCTCCTACATTTCTCAATGGATTTTGACCAATATTTTACAGAAGCTTTGTCATCAAGTGCCCGGGGGTTTATTGTCGGGGCTTTGCTATTGGATAATATTTGATTTAATTATGGCCCTTTGTTTTTTTTTCCTTATATAGAATATATAGTAAACAATTTCTTCTGTGCGCAACTCCTCCTACATTTCTCAATGGATTTTGACCAAACTTTTACAGAAGCTTTGTCATCAAGTGCCCTGGGGCATATTGTCGGGGTTTTGCGATTGAATAGTATTTGACCTATTTATGGCCCTTTGTTTTTTTTCCTTATATAGAATATATATATAGTAAACAATTTCTTCTGTGCTGAACTCCTCCTACATTTCTCAACGGATTTTTACCAAACTTTCACAGAAGCTTTGTCATTAAGTGCCCTGGCGCATATTGTTGGGGTTTTGTGATTGGATAATATTTGACCTAATTATGGCCCTTTGTTGTTTTTTCCTTATATAGAATATATAGTGAACAATTTCTTTCATGCGCAAGTCCTCCTACATTTCTCAACGGATTTTGACCAAACTTTCTCAGAAGCTTTGTTATCAAGTGCCCTGGCACATATTGTCGGGGTTTTGTGATTGGATAATATTTGACCTAATTATGGCCCTTTGGTTTTTTTCCTTATACAGAATATATAGTGAACACTTCGTGGCAATTCCTCCTACATTATTCATGTTTTACATTGCACATAGTTACATTGTTTGTTGCTTGTATTTGTATTTCAAATACAACATATTTATCTACAATGGTGATAATTGAAAACCTGGTTTCATGGCATTGCCATGTTTCTTGTTTTATCTTTCAGTGATACATTTATACATGTATATTAAAATAATTATGATATAACAGAATTCCTAATGTAAAAGATGTGCCAATTATATGTTGAAAGTTTATCCTTGTCATGTTTACTAATTTATGTGTCACATTTTGTACTGGCATTTCTTTGTAATATACAGCATCTGAAACCTAAATGAGCATATAATGTATGAATAAAATTGTACAACAACAAAAATTGTTTACCTTTTTTTTATTTTTATTTTTTTTTAAATAAATTAATGTTCATTTTATAATATATTCAGGGATATTTTATTTTCTATACCCACCATTTCATATAATTTATCTTTAATTTATCTTGGAAGAAGATAAATATAAATCTATAATAAATCTCTATGATTTTATAGTAGTACAAGTATTATATTATATCTACAAAATGTACTTCGATTTAAACCTTATTTAAAAATTGAGTAACAATAAATGGTCTAAGGGGAACAACTTACAAGTCTGTTTTACTATATTAAATCAGGGTCTTTCAAATAGAATGGAATGTTTTTAATTTTATATACATGTATTTTGAAGACCTTACCGTACGTTAAGGGAGAGAACTCAAATCTTCCTATTGAACTTTTTTTTTTTAGAAATCGCTTTCCTTTGTTAAAGGTCATGTTTTATACAGTAGCAATGAAATGATAGTGTTCACAGCAATTAATGCTGCAAGGGAGACAACTTGCTCAATTGTTTTGGTTTATTAGATACATATTTCTCTCCCTTGAGTGTAAACATATCTTAATTAATGGTATAAGAGAGACAACTAGCGCATTATTACATTTTAGGTACCTGTTAATCTCCCCTTATTTATATATTCATAAGTTATTAGATAAGTACATTGTAGTAGAGCTGTGATCATTTAAGGTAGTTTCTTCTCGTGCTGTAGAATAAATTGTCCGATTTCTGCGAAGCGGCCAGTCCCGTTTCTGCAGGCATGTTCGTTTGAAAGCTCTGGTGGATCCGGAAATGTAAAATGTATGGAGTATACGTCAGTTCGCCAATTAAACGGCTGCTCCTCCATAAAGTTTTTGAAGTCCTTATGAAATGTAGGGTGACATTTTAATCTGAAGCACATTACTTGTAAATGTTTCTCTATTTTAATGTACTGAGGATATTTTTCATAAATTTTATAGGGTAATTCTACGGCATTATATAAAAAGTCTTCAGATTTATAGTTGGCTAATGCATCCTGCCATCTTTTTATAAAAGTAGCTCCTGGTTTTGCCATTAAAACACCTAGATTTATCGTATTTGGAAAATTACCCTGTTGTATATGGTCGAAGTTTGCTATGACGTCATATCCTTTTTGTATGACGTCATCTGGATTTTTGAGCCACAGGACATCCCAGTCCATGTAAATGCCTCCGTATCTCAGTAAACATTCGGCTCGAACTATGTCACTGCGGTGCTGAGTATAAATGACTTTGTGTCCATATATGCTAAAAGGTTTCTCCCGGTGTACAAGGATAACTCTTTCATCTTTCAATATTCTCTTATAGTAGCCTCCCTTTAGTTCACCGTCAGTGTGTATATATACCTTCTCTGGATTTAAAATGAACAAAGTGCTGAGCATGCTCAGAAACATCATAAAATCCATTTCCTTTGAGCCAAACCAGACGTAATGGACTATTTTCGGAATAGTTCCCGGTAAAATTGATTTAGCTTCTTTCTTTTCAATTGAACTATAGAGAATTGTTCTAACCAATTTACCGAAATGTGTGTCTGATTCAAATTCATCCGCGGGGTTTAAAGGTGAACTTAAAACATAGCAAGGTGCATAACTACTGTTCGTTTCTTCATTTACAGTTGTACAAAACCGTGAGTTATTAGGAATTTCTTTATTTTTCTCAAACGTTCGTATAAACTTCTTAAAATTGTCGTCATGATCTTTCCCCATTGCTATGGCAACGCGAGGATATTCGGATGATTTGTACTCCGAGAATAAAACAGTCATATCATGTTTAAGGAATGAAACTACTTCCTGTGTTATGACGACATTTTCATCCACGTAAATGCCTGAAAATAATTGAAGAAATATCTTATAATAGCTACAAGGCAGAACATATGAGCAGTAGGCCATTGAAATGTTATGACATAAGTGGACTTAAAACCACTTGACCCTTGCCGCCGTGGGTTCGAATCCCAACAAGGACTTTGTATTCTTTCACGTGGAAAAGCTATCCATAAGTGTCATATTTAACCACCATACATATATTTGTTTGTTTGTTTTGGGTTTTACGTCACATCGACACAGTATAGGTCATATCGCGACGTTCCAGCTTTACTGGTGGAGGAAGACCTCAGGTGCCCTTCCGTGCATATATAACTATGACCAAGACCAAATTTGAAACATTATAAGCAATAGGGGGCAACAATTTTACGCTATTCTAGAACCCCTTGCTCACAGTCTCAATTAGAACATTTTGAAAGACGCTGATTAAGTTAATCGGGAACATTTAATTTATCTCGTAGTCTTTATATGTTCGTTGTTAATTTGTAAAATAACAAATGACTAATTATTAACTCTAAATTTATGAGAAATCTCGTATTAGAAGAATTATCGGAAATGAGGCTCAAACTTACCACCCTGTCATCAATGACCGCAAGGCCGAACCAAAACCCACAACCCTTATCGTCACCGTCCCAATTTGGTGGAATCATCTTCATTATAAAATTTGGAACAGTTTTCTTAATTTCGGTAAGCCAATCGTCATACTTGTCAGATTTGGCGCCACCTTTTTGGTGAAATTCTATGATATCCGGTCTCAGTATCTTCCAGACGCTCATTATACTGAGATAGTTCCGGAATCGAATATTTGTTCATCACACCACACGTGAAATGAACAGTATTTTATGACCTTGGTTTCTGCCCAGTCACTTAATCCAGAATTTCGGAAACCAGCAAGTTTCGTGTAAAACTATTTCCCCGCGTCAAAATTGTCTGATATTTTTATATCCGCTTTTACGTCCGTGTCAGGGAATGGAAATAAGTCCTCCAAAGTAGCTAACAGCACTTAGACTGTCAAGTGCACAGAAAATGGCTATCTCATACACTAAAAAGTAAGGCCACACTGCAACAAAATATGGCACTCAAAATATAAGCACGAAAATGTGCATCTGCACCTTTTCCTAGATTTTCCCATTCCTAATCCTTATACTTTTCTGAAAGACAAAAAAATAATAATAATCGAGTGATATTAATATGCAACAATACAACGGCTCTGCTGTCTATCTTCTAAAAGAATTCTTTTCTTTAAACAGTAAAATATCGTTTTGTAGATTTTCATAAGTATTGCACATTCTCTTATTTGCAAGAAACAATCGAACAAATGACTGTAAAATTATTAATCGTTCCGATATACAAACGTCTGGAAGTTCGGAAAATCGGAATATTACTATAATGTGATATAAACCGTGGTGTAAATTTCTAATTACAATTTTAAATTTTTAAATTTAGAAAGTCTATAAAATGAAATTCCTTTTTTTATCGGAAGGCGTAAAATGAAAAAATTGGTAACAGTAAAAATTAAAAAGGGGTCTCCTTCCACAAAACCAAAAAAAAATTTACCAATGTTTTTAAAAAAAACATATACCGCTTAAGTTTTGGGACAATAACAATTAAAATACAACCCCAGGTGCATCAAAAAGTACGATAAGTCTTTTAAATATCCCGTCCGCTCCCCGGAATTACTGAATAGATGGACATTGATGTTCGCGAATCAATGAATATTTTCAAATTAAGATTGTAAGAAAAGTTTAAAGCCCCTAAAGTACCTAAACATTTTTTTTTGGTTTGGTATATATCAGTCTAATATGCTAGGTTAAGGTACATACTGACCTTTAAAAAACATTAAAAGTGAAAATTCGACGTGTAACTGTCGGTATTTTATGGACAATGCTAAACACTATGTATTTTGTTGTCCATTTTTTAAAACTTAAAGAGTCCTCTGTGTAGAAACTAAAACTTTTAATCAACGATGATTTTAATCATTGCGGTAGCAGTGCTAACAACTTGTAATGAAATGATATAGTTTACGTGTTGAAAAAAATATCGAACACTACTGGCTGTTTCCACAACATCTGATATTTTATAACATCTTTCAACATGACTTGTACCCTGGTTCCATGGGAACATTGAAGTCTGTTTATAATTGAGGAACGAGCCCGTGCTGGATAATGGATAGGCTCGATCCTTACACCTATAGTTGATTTATTTATATGGGTTTTTTTTTCTTCAGTATAATTATCTTTCTGAGAACAAAATCTATTGTGCTTCCCTTTACATTAAACTGCAATCACTTCTGCTAAATAGAATATATATCAAATTTATCTTTGGGAAGGGCCGATCGCTAAAGTTGTAGGAACTTTTGCCCAGTCTTTTGCCTATTTATTATTCCGAAAACATATTGTTTGTGTGTACATTTTCATTTATACAGTATAATAACAATAAATTATGTTTAAACAAAATTAAAATGTTTACAAAAACCGTTTACTTCCGGTCATTGTAACATAATATTATATTGTAAGCTTACTCAACTGAGCTTGTAATATTTTGTAGTAGAATGTGTTTACCCACTGTAAAAATCCAAATCCATGAAAGTCACTTTAAGAAGTTGAATTTTCTGTAAAGTGGACGGCATTAAAAAACAGGTTAAGCACTATTAAAAGCCGGTTTTTTTTTCAAATTTATTTATAATGAACACTGACCTACACATAAAATGTATATTTATCCAATGCGGGGTACAAAGATACACGTCTAGCGTTATATAACACGAGCATAATCTGAAAACGAGGCTTCAAAAAGTTCCGTGCAACAGGCGTCGGCCATTTTCAAATCACGTAACATATTTATCTTATTCTTAAGCTTTTGAATAATGAATAAGAAAACGATCGTAAATATTGAATAAGCTGACATTGATGGCTGAGTTATAAATTTATAATGATCATATTTGACACCAGGTGCACGCTTAATTAATGGTGAATAATAGATGAAAACGAACATTTTACTCTAGATGTAGAGTGTCATATCGTGCAAACAGTATAATTGTGTTTTAAATCGATTGTTTTCATTAAGATTTGTTGAGCAATCGAAATTCCGACACCTTCCCGCCAAACTTCGGATAAGAAACTCGAACTGAACATTAAGGATATGTAATTTTGATTTAATCAAGGCTACAAAAAAGATGTTTATAAATAAGGTAATGATTTAAATGAGTTGCCGAGTGGTTAAGGTCTTAAAGACTTCAGCCCAATTGCCCCTCACCACTGTGGGTTCGAATCCCGACATGGACTTCAGATTGTTTCATATTAGGAAGCTAACCAAGTAGTTTACGGAACGTAGGAAGTTCTACACTCAGGTGCCCGTTCGTGCCTGAAAAATTGCACGCGTAGATGCACCTGAGGCCTGCCTCCAATAGTAAAGCTGGAAACCCGCCATATGACCTATACTGGATTGGGTTCGACATAAAACTCAACCAAAAAGAAAAGTAAAAATAAGTAATATCGTACTTTCAAAGAACACAGCTGTAATCATCCAGCCCAGTATCACAAATGTTATCATTAGTCACGAGATATATATTCCGAATGTTTTTTCAGAACAAGCTCTTGCAGCAATCATTTGTCTATACGTATTGTTACTATGCATCTATCCTACATAAAAACTGGACAGTTTCACATAAATTATAGCAGACTTATAGATATGGCTGGTAAGATAAACTGATAACACTCTATATCAGAAATTACAGAGCTCACCCACCTGACGTATCTCGCACGGTTTTAAATCTCACTAACGTCCATTTATCCTAATTTTAAACTGATTAAAAAGTCTTAACAATGATCTATGTGCTCCACGTCTTAAAAAACCTTTAAACAATTTTAAAATGTTTCAGTTTATTTTAGGCCAAACAATGAAATAAATGGGTTATAAACTCTTGTAGCGCGTGCAGGGCTTCTTTTTGCAAAAGAGAATTCTGCGTCATATTGTCACTTTTAAATACTAGAACATTTGAGCCGTGTCATGACAAAACCAACGTAATGGGTTTGCGACCAGCATGGATCCAGATCAGACTGCGCGGATGTGCAGGCTGGTCCGGATCCATGCTGGTCGCAAATGCATTATGTGTGCATCAGCGTGATTCCAGATTCATGCTTATTTCAATAAAGTATTTGAAAATGTATTCAAATGTAAAATGTTGTCATGTCAACAAGCAAATGGCACTTATAGAATCCACATAGATTAGGTCAAAATATGCAAATAGTCCATACGGAGTTAGCCAGGCGATGATAAATACTGCAAAATCAGGCATTAATCGCACATAGCTTGTAAATTATTACTTGCATCTTGATTATTTTTTTTAACTTTTTATAAAATCTAAGTACATGTTCTCTTGAAATATTTTGGCTCATCTGAAGGAATGCAGATTTAACTAGAGAAATATATAAGCCGCATCACGACAAAACCAACATAGTGGGTTTGCGACCAGCATGGATCCAAACCAGCCTGCGCATCCGCGCTGCGCTGTTCGCTTACAAACTCCATAACAAGTAGAGAAACTGATAGCGAACAGCATGGATCCTGATCAGACTGCGCGGATTCGCAGGCTGGTCTGGATCCATGCTGGTCGCAAACCATTATGTTGGTTTTGTCGTGACGCGGCTCATACATTTTAATTTTGAATGCATTTTTAGCTCACCTTGCACAAAGTGCAGGTGAGCTTTTAGGATGGCCAACCAAATGGCGTCCGTCGTCCGTCGTCCGTCCACATTTTAAATATTCTAAGGACATCTTCTATGATACCGCAAGGCCAATGTTAATGAAACTTGGCAGGAATACTCTTTGTATGAAGCTCTATCAAGATTGTTCAAAGAATTCCATTTCATGCAGAACTCTGGTTGCCATGGCAACCGAAAGAAAAATCTTTAAATATCTTCTTTTAAAGAACCCAAAGAGCTAGAGCTAAGATATTTGGCATGAAACATCTTCTAGTGAGTGTCTACCAAGTTTGTTCAAATAAAAGCCCTGGGGTCAAAATTGGCCCCGGCCCGGGGGGTCATTGATTTTCCCTATATGCATATAGTAAAAACTTAAAAAATCTTCTTTTAAAGAACTGTAAAAGCTAGAGCTTAGATATTTGGCATGAAACATCTTCTAGTGAATGTCTACCAAGTTTGTTCAAATAAAAGCCCTGGGGTCAAAATTGGCCCCGCCCCAGGGGGTCATTGATTTTCCCTATATATGCATATAGTAAAAACTTAAAAAATTCTCTTTTAAAGAACCCAAAGAGCTAGAGCTAAGATATTTAGCATGAAACATCTTCTAATGAGTGTCTACCAAGTTTGTTCAAATAAAAGCCCTGAGGTCAAAATTGGCCCTGCCCCAGGGGGTCATAGATTTTCCCTATATATGCATATAGTAAAAACTTAAAAAATCTTCTTTTAAAGAACCCAAAGAGCTAGAGCTAAGATATTTGACATGAAATATCTTCTAGTGAGTGTCTACCAAGTTTGTTCAAATAAAAGCCCTGGGGTCAAAATTGGCCCCGCCCCGGGGGGTCATTGATTTTCCCTATATGCATATAGTAAAAACTTAAAAAATCTTCTTTTAAAGAACCGTAAGAGCTAGAGCTTAGATATTTGGCATGAAACATCTTCTAGTGAATGTCTACCAAGTTTGTTCAAATAAAAGCCCTGGGGTCAAAATTGGCCCCGTCCCAGGGGGTCATAGATTTTCCCTATATGCATATAGTAAAAACTTAAAAAATCTTCTTTTAAAGAACTCAAAGAGCTAGAGCTAAGATATTTAGCATGAAACATGTTCTAGTGAATGTCTACCAAGTTTGTTCAAATAAAAGCCCTGGGGTCAAAACTGGCCCCGCCCCGGGGGTCATTGATTTTCCTTATATGTGTATAGCAAAAACTTAAAAATCTTCTTTGAAAAAACCCAAATAGCTTGAGTTTAGATATTATACATGAAACATCTTTAAGTAAATATCTACAAAGTTTGTTCAAATAAAAGCCCGGGGGTCAAAACTGGCCCTGCCCCAGGGGTGTCATTGTTTTTAACTATATGTGTATAGTAAAAACTTAAAAAATCTTCTTTTAAAAAAACTAATGAGCTAGAACTTAGATGTTTAGCATGAAACATCTTCTTATGGGTGTCTACAAATTCTGTTCAAATAAAAGCCCTTGGGTAAAAATTGGCCCGGGGGGGGGGCTATATACAGGTGAGCGACCTCAGGGCCATCATGGCCCTCTTGTTTTGTTTAATACCGCACGATAAGAAATATAAATGATAGGTATGTATATTATTCTTTGTGAAGGATTGATATCTACATGTCTATCCATTCTAATTTACACAAAGACGTAAAGTTACTGAAACTTGTTCGGAACTACATTTAATAAATGGGTATTTTCCATGATATCTGCATTTATTACTACCGTTTCTTTTGTTAAAATGAATTGTAAATTAGTGGAGGTTTTAGTATTTTAAGCTTATTTCAAATGACCGTAAACATGAACAAATGGTTAATTTTAGTACCCTTTTTCGAAACTCAATTTTGACAATAGTTTTTCTAATCCGTCCTTAATTCTGTAAGTCAGTCGGTCAGTTATATCGACCAAGTTAATGCAAACAGTAAAAAACACTAAAATACTTGTGATCAAGTTTTTTTCTATAAATACAGGATTTATTTTCATCGAGTGGTATGAAAATAAAATATTCAATAAACCGCGGTAGCCACGAGTGAAATATGATGATTTTCTTACCACAAGATGAAAATAAATTCTGTATTTACATAAAAAAATCTTGAATTTTCTGTTTATTAATATACATTTTGCACTTTTTTGGACATTACAATTTAAAAGACTTCCCCAAAATATTTGAGTATTGGCTGAATTTAGAAGAAAGTAGTCCGGCAAAACATCAGTGAAAATACGGAAAATATCTTTCATTGCAGTGAAAAATAAACTTTTTACAGTTTAAATACGCATTTTATTTCATCATTATTTCTCAATATTTCATTTATAAGTTTATCATTTAAAATATAATATTGCACGGTCTCTTTTGTTCTGACACTGCATGTGAATAATGTCTCTGCATTTGTTTAATGACTAAATAACTGCCGTGCAATACATGCAGATACCAGGAAGACAACTGAACGCTTTCCAAATATAGACCACTTTAAGATTCAGAATCCCCGAATCTGTTTATTAATGTAACCCCTTTATAAGTTTTAATTTCCTCTAAATTGTATTTCATAATGTCATTCAAATTAATATTTTTTTAATAAAAAAAATGGCCCACCTGTTTAAAATCAATTATTTCAACTCCGCACAACTCTACGCCAGGATCTACTTCCGGAATTCCGATAAGAATAGCTACTGTAAATTATCCATGAACAGAACTTAAATTATGTTTCTTACTAACTATTTCTGGTTTATACACTTGAAGGAAATATTATCTTTAACAAATCATTCTTCTCTCGGCCCACGCATGCTGATTCAGAATAAAGAGCATAAGTTGATCGTTACATTTATGCATGTGTTTGTTTACATATAAAATCTTGAATTTCATGTAAAAAAACCTCATGATTTTCTTGTACATACTAGACTGAACTGGACAGGGTTTCAAAAACAATCGTCGTTTCCGCTGGTTCGAATACTTGTGACCATTATCCATGGAAATCATAAAGGTGTCATTTTTTAAACATTAATTTATTTATTCATTTATTCATGCATCCATGCATTCCTTCCTCCCTTCCTTTCTCCCTTCCTTCCTTCCTTCCTTCCTACTTCATCTATTTATTTATTTATTCATTTATTCATTCATTCATTCATCCATTCATGCATCCATGCATTCCTTTCCTTTTCCTTCCTTCTTCATTCATTCATTCATTCATTCATTCATTCATTCATTCATTCATTCATTCATTTATTTATTTATTTATTTATTCATTTATTCATAGAAGATATTTGTTTGCATGTAAGATTGAAACGGAAAACTAGGTGTAATGTAAGAGCTGTTTAGAGTGACGGCTACTATGAAAATTATACATGTACTTCATAATTTCACTATAAAACTATCAAATGTAATTTCACTGTCCACTGAAAAGTATGTAATGGCTTCTATAAGGTTTTACTTTCGGCCAAAATCAATAATTATTGTTATGTTGTTTCTTACACATGTATAAATATTCCTAAATAAATTATGTTTAAACCAAAAGTATGTAATCAATAAATCTATCTAATATTTGTAAAACAATTACTCTATCCAGATGTTCGGACGGTGAAATCAAATCATTATCAATGATAATGTTAAATATCCTCAAAAAAATCATCAGATATTGATAATATGTCGTCAATTATTTTCGAATTGAAAGGTGATTTTTATATTGCACAATCCCAAATTCGAAAAATGGTTCTATATGTTTGTACGTTGTACAACAGTTTAGTTTTGAATGTTGCTTAAAAACGTGTGTACTTTGTTCAATGGTTTAGGATCGTATCTTGCCTCTGTATGATTGTGCATAGCACAATCGGAAAGATTGATTCTACATGTTTGAAATAGGTACATGATCATTCGGATAGCTTTTGAAATCTTAGTAAAATCTTAAAAACATGTACTTACTCGTAAATTATGAACCTTTATTTTGTATCTGTCTTTGTTTTCAAAGTGATAATAATTCATTTGTATGTGTATCTCTGATTGTACTTTTATTGGTCATTTATTTACACTTAAATTAAGTTGTGAACCGAGCGACGTCAATTAATTGATATTTTGTTTTATTTATTTCTTTATTTATTTAATTTACACTGATTGATTAATTGATTGATTTCATTTACATTGATTGATTGATTGATTGATTGATTGATTGATTGATTGGTTGATTGATTGATTGATTGATCGATTGATCGATTGATCGATTTTTATTTCATTTACATTGATAGATTGATTGATTGATCGATTGATTGTCCGATTGATAGTTCGATCGATCTATTGAGTGAGTGATTGGTTGATTTTGAGTGCAATTAATAAATATACTCACTGCAACAATGTATGTGGAAAAAACACAACTCATAAAAAAGGTTTTTGTAATTTAGTACTTCCGGCCAATTAGATATGTTAAAGAAAGTTTGGATATAGTATAACATTATCGGTTAAATACTGTGTAATCTGAATAATTCCACGACGACCTCCAAGACCGTGCAATATCATGTAATACAGTCGTCAAAAAAGAGTGTGTTGTATGTCCAAATTATTTTTATAAAATTCAAATGTGGTGCCAAACGAAATTAATAACATCTTTTAGTAAAGGTTACAATTAGCTAAATTTGGTATGATGAAAAATGAAACCATGCGTTGTCAAACTTAGTACTTTCATTCACGGATTTGACCAAAGTTTTACGAATTATAAACGATAGAACTATACTAGAACTAGTTTTGTCTTTTACGGTAAGAACGTATTGTATAGGCAAATAATGAAGTTGATGAGTACCTAATTATAATGAAATCACTTCTATAGATCTAGCCAACAAACATGAAAGCTGGTGAACCTAGTTGATTGACCTACAGCAATTAACTGAAATAATATTAATTTTGCCAACATTAGTCACAAAACCAGGTGAACGTTAAACAACAAGAAAACAAAAAAACACCATATCAACACTGCAAATGAAAATAATTAGTGAAATGTATAAATGTAATTGCAAATAGTATGTATATCTTCTCTAATTAAGTTTTAAACGTGTAATACCTTTTAAAACTAACCTTTTATTTCTGATATTTTTATCCGTTACTTTTATATTTACGCTGAGCAGGAACATTTTCTATCACTAGAAGTGAAGTTAACAAAAAAATGAAGTAACGTTAACCAGTTGTAGAAAACTACTTGAGTACATTGTTTTTTCTTACTTTGTTATAAATTACGGAAAGGCACGGTGCCATATTACTGTCTACAGTAATTAGCGTTGATTGGACAATTAAAGGGAGAGAAATCCATTGCTGCGTTTTTTAAGTTGCGGCAAGGAAACTAGACTTCTCGTCTGTATCGTAATAAAGAAGCCTCATTTCTAATGTTTTTTTTTGTTTTTTTTTTTTTTTTTTTTTGCATTTTGCATTTTGCATTTTGCACGTTATCTGATGCTGCGGTTTAAACAAAGGCCCACTGCTTCTTATTAAAATTGGTTTATAGATTGAAAAGAAACTTATATTAATTTATACACTTATATCATCAAACTTGTCAAACGATCGTCGGCACGTCAACGTCTTTTCTATTATGACGCCAATTTGCACAATTATTAAAATGCCTTTGCCATATACATGTAGTTATATAGAGTACAAACAAAAATATATAAAAACTGTATTGTAGAATATATATATATCTGAATCTTTAAATACGAGAACAGGAATGTTTCAAACGGAAAAAAACACTGACCTCGTTTTCGTATTATCTGCACTTGCACATGAACATTTTGTAAGGACAAAAAAAGACAATTTAATTATAAATGACTGTGAAGGTTGTACAAACGATATTTCGATTGATTTTCAACAGGATTGCAGATCAATGTCATAGCACATTGTGACCTTAGTAAGGCCTTAACCACGAATATCATTTTGAATCTTGCATTTAAAAAAAGCCAACATCCTGATCGACATACATTTGGGACAATACTTTACAAAACCAAACGAGTAATATCTATTCATGGTGAATTTTCTATAAGTTTAGATGAAATACATATAAAATGTCCCAAGTGATAATTAAGGTGTGTTTTTTAAATCTATAACATGTGCATTTTTATTGGGATTAACGTCGCACATACACAGTATGGCGACTTTCCAGCGTTACTGGTGTGCACCCTGTATATATTATTTCAGGCACAAACCAGCACCGACGTTCCGTAAGCTAGCTGGATAGCTTTCTATCATGAAGAACCCGAAGACACTGGCACGGCTCGAACCTACAGCGGTGAGAGGCAAGTGGTTTGAAGTAAACGACTATAACCACTTGACCAAGGATGTCCCATATATATGTGCATGTATTGAATGTATTGAGATGCATGTATTTAGATGGGAAATACATCAGTGTGCTTTTTGGCGACAAGGTTATAAATGAAATGCGCCCGGTGATTTCTCTCCTCTGTAAGTCCAAAGATAAAATGGATAAAATCTGTTATGATTATTTGACATCTAGATTTGTTTATTCATTTTCACATGTACAGCAAAATTACCTGATACAGGAAAAAAACAGGCATTTCTATTTAATTATGAAATGACATTAGATTCTCTATATACATGCAGTTTTAGACTAATGATGTAATATTTATTTGCATGATTTTGTCTTTCTGAACAAAACTGTTCAGGCACCATTGTGGTGTTCGAAAGAATAGCAATTCTATGGGCTTTCTCCACGCGCTAACCTCGTATTGATATCCGCTACAACTTCCGGTAAATCTACTATCGTGTCAATGACGTAATGCGCACCGCTTTTGCGCAATAAGTCTCTGGAATGTTCCAATCTTCGTTGAATTTCTTCCTCACTTAAAGTTTTCTCGTGTTCAAAGCTATCAACGTCCATGTAATTGCTATAACGCGCCAATCCGACACCCCAGCATCCGGCTGAAAGCGCCTCGCCTACACCGGAAATAGTATCGTCAACTTTAACAACCGCTTGGATTGGGTGAACGTCTAGAAGATCTAGATTTCGGTAAACCATGAATGGTTTTGGCCTGGCACCATTGGCAACTTCGTCACCTTTATAAAAGTAAATTATATTTCAAAAAACAACAATTTATAGTTAGTGCAAAGGACAGGCACACAATTACTTTCAAATGTGAGCTGCTGTCGGTCAAACTTTTCGAAACTGTCACATTTTCTTTAACGTTAATCTCGCCTCAAAGCTTGTAAATGTACCAGCGGACATAAATATAAAAGTGAGGTAAATTAAGGGCAATGAACTGGAAAAGGGTAACATTTTGCTACTGAACCAATGCTCATTTAAGTACCGCTTCTCTAATTACATGTAAGTATGTTGAAAGTTAAAGCACTTATTTTAAGCGTCTATTAGCCTTACTAAGAATAAAATTGAGGTCATTGTTCTGGAAAAAGACATTACAAAAATCCAGTAACCACGCTAAACCTTGCGCCACTATGTCACGCAATTATGTATGAGGTATAAAGTCATTACCAGCTACGGTACAATCCGGATGAAATCCTTGTTTCTTTGCGTCCTCCAACAAAACATCCACCATGGATCGGATAAATCCCGTCGTACTCCCAATTTTCATTCCTGAAATTTTAAGCTTATATGCGAGTATTGTTAATGAACACCGTTTATTATATATAATGTTGGATAGATTTCATTCTCAATGAAAAAAAAAATATTGTCTCAGTGCAATAAACTTGCAAGTTAAATATGTGGACCCCCTTTCACACCTCTTCCCCTCTCAAGAATGTCCCTTTTGTCATTTTAGTTATCATAGCTCCAACACCCCCTCCCTCCCCCAAACGCTTCTTTTGCGCAATGAATATCAATCAAAAATTAAATCTACCGGAAATCAACATCGTTTTGATCCATAACCTTCAAAACTAGACGCCTTCTGTGTTATGCAATATAAAACCCAATATGTTTGTTTGTTTTTGTTTTGTATATAGTTAAGAGTTCTATTGGAAGTTTTGACAAAGAAGAAAAAATAAATTTCAAAGCTGGATAAAGTCTATACGATACGTACCATATTCTTTCTTGAGAGTATTGACAGCGTCTACGGTACCAGGAATAAGTTCTGTGTATTTATTGAGACAGTTCAGCTGCATTGGAACAAAGTCTTTAAACATATTATCAACGTCACCTGGAAATTACAATATAAAAATTGTTTTGATATTTTTTTTTTAAATAGGAACATATATTCTAAAATCTACTACTGCAGCTTCTATAATTATTGTCATCATTGTTGCTGTTGTTATTCCTGTTGTTGTTCTGGTTGTTGTTGTTGCTCATGTTCATGTTGTTTTTTTGCCGTTGTTGCAGCTGCTGTTGCTGCTGCTTTGTTATGGGGTTGTGTTATTGTTGTGTTGTTTGTTGTGCTTTTGCTATTGAATTTCAAAATTTGGGAGTTCATTTTTTTATTTTTGGTTTCGACTTTTACTTACTCTTTATTTCCTGTCATAATACTTTCCCAATCAGAACTCTCAATGGTGAAGTATTTGACATACGTTCCTTACAGTTAGTTATGCATTTATACCTAACAATAATAATATCACTGATGATGAATGATGATGATGAATGATGTTGTTTAATCTAATACTTATTACTATAAGTAATACATGTATATTCACAACAGACCTTGGTTTGGATCCCGGCCGTATACAGATCGCCAGCGATCTTTCACTTCCGGTATCTCAGTGATAGCTTTGATGTGTAGATCTTTGCGTAAACCCATGGGCAGACGAGCTTCTTTCATGGAAATTGGAACCTGGTGGTAAATGATCAAGATAATCAATGTAATGATACTTTAAACAATAAGAAAATAATCAGTCCTGTCATCGTGTCCTTATTTTAATACATGTACTTAATCAGTTTTTGTATACATCTACTTTATAAGACCCCTGAAATCAAACTATAAATTAATCAGTGGCCGAAACACATCTATTTTAGCGGACCCCGGAAGATCAACAATATATTAGATCTACTATAGACACTTGCTTATTGGAGGCTGCTTCCCCCCCATGCCCGTTTTATTAAATGTTAATTTTCAAAATTACAACAAAGGTCAGAATAACACTAACAAACAGAATGAAACCATAGATTTAGTAACAAAAAGTATGCGCATTCATATAGTTCCTGGGTCAGTTAAACTAGATTCTATCTAGATGACACTCAGGTTACTTTATTTAACATTTATCAGTGAAGGGTTATCAAAATGTGACCTTTATTTGAAGGGTTATCTACATTCAGAGGTGGTCTTTTACACTGGTTTGACTATACATTGAATTTCAATAGTCATAAAAAGATATTTTTTACAATTTTTTATATAAATACATAAATTATTTACCTTATGTTTATCAAAAACCTCAACGAAGACAACGGCCGGTGCAATCACATATTTGTCGGCAGTAGTCCCACTCCAATCCAAGATAGCTGCTTTTAATCCTCCAACGTACTTCCGGACAAAACGGAAATTCTGAGACATTCTACTTGTGATATTATTGTCAGAAGGAATTTACGATGACCTGTAATGAGTAGTTATTAAAGTGAATCATTGCCATACAGTATAAAAATTATATTTTACGGGAAAAATCAAATCAACTCCTTTATGACGTCACTTCCGTCATGACAAACACCCGCGGTTTATTTCTTGACATAAAAATTTATAATGGTACCAAACAATACAGCATAAAATGGGGTCGCTTAAAAGCCTTTGACTTTTGTAATGTTAGAAATTTGTCCCAAATTAAAATGTTTTAACATATTTACTGTATCTATAACTTGCAAATTTATATACATTAAAATGTACACAGTAATTCAATACGCTTTCCTTGAAATAAAATTTTATGAAAAAATGCACGGACTATTTTGAAAAAAAAAATATTAACCACAACGCAAATAGTGCAAAATTTGAAGTAAATATTATAAGATACAACTCCCCCCCCCCCTTCGTCTATTCGAGTACAGGAAGCACATATAAATAAAATACACGTAATTATTTTCCCTCTTTGTTTGTATTTCATGTTGTCATTTGTCTATTAGAGAAAAATAACAAGTAGATATGTTATTGACCTCCTATTTTAGTACTACATACGTATATGTGTTCAATGAATTTGATCTTACCAAAGGGGGACAATTCAGCTATGAGAAATGTACGCCATTTTGTTCGATAAAAACATTTTTAATTTGGCTTTCTTTATAACCATTTAAGTTGAGGAATAATCTGTTACCAATCAGTGCATTGTTGTTGTTGTTGTTGTTGTTGTTGTTGTTGATGGTGGTGGTGGTGTTGTTATTATTATTGTTGTTGTTGTTGTTGTTGTTGTTGTTGTTGATGATGTTGTTGTTGGCGGTGGTGGTGGTGATGATGTTGTTATTGTTGTTGTTGCTGCTGCTGCTGCTGTTGTTGTTGTTGACGGTGGTGGTGGTGGTGGTGGTGGTGTTTATGTTAATGTTTTTGTTTATGATAATGTTGTTTTTGTTTTTGTTGTTGTTTATGATTATGATGATGTTGTTATCGTTGTATTTTTATTACTCAACCGACAATATTACCATGCCACCATATAATTTCATTATTTTAATTCATTTTTTTGAAATATAGAAACCACAACACAATAGAAAAATACGCCGTATTTGAAATCAATTCTTCATTGCAGACGACAGTTGTTGCATTTATTAATATTATTTATGTACATAGAATTAAATAACATATAAAATCTTACCACATGTGCTTTACATTCCATTCATAAACAAATCATGAAAAGTTCGTAAAATTGTGCTAATATATAGTTACACTTTAGTCCTTGACTTTCGTACTTTAGAATAAAAACAATATTTGTAAGAATCACGTGGACTGTTATGTTCACACAAAGTGAGGTTATTGGAAATCAATTTTTTATCCACTGCAAACCGATGCACACAAGCAGATGAGATATTTTGTTTACAATGTTGGCTTGATCTTATTTATTATTCACGGAAGATTTATATATTTGAAGGTCATTATTCAACAATGCATTGCGTAGATTATTTACAGTGAAATCTGTATTAATGAACAATCATGAAACACAATCCCATTGTTACATGTTAAGACGATTGATACACAAACACTGTTAATAAATAGCATGTTTGGCGATTTTCTATCTTTTTGGGGGGTGGGGTAGGGCGGGGGTTGCCCCTTGTGAGTTATTTCAGGCACCTGGGTAGAAACATTGTCTTCCGTCATGTACCTAGAAAGCTTCCTAGCATGAATATTATCTTCTTTAGAGACTTGAAGTCACAACGATGAGGACAAGCCGACGCACAAAGTCGATCAGTAACCTCCACTGCTCGACCACCTTTGCCCTTCAAGGCCGTCATTTTAATTTCCCCTATAACGGTGACCCTACTACTTGGTTATAATTTAGTGTTAACCACAACACGTGGTATATAATGTCATTTTAGTTTCCCCCTATGACAGGGTGACCATACATATCGTAGAAATATATTATATATATTTATATGTTTCCCGGTGTAAAGTAAGTAATATGTTATTTAATAGCCCATTATGTCCCACAAATGTTAAATAGAAGCCTTTACATGACACAACAACATGACATTAACTGCTAATAATAACAGCTCCTTCCATAGGCCAAAATAAAAAGCATTCCATAAAAGACGACGCCGCTCACCGGCGTCGCCAATAAATAGAAACAGGACACAAAAAAATAGAAACCGTAACAGAACAACAAAACTTGAGACTTCAACAGAACACTAAAAATATATACCGTAATAGGACACAAAAAAATAGAAAGCAGGGAAATGGCCAATGAATAACTTTTTGGCAACTAAAAAAGCATCACAGATTTTAAAAAAAAAAAAGCTTTTGAGAAATAAAAATGAAAGCGTATGTGGGGCATAATGGGCCTTTAAAAGTTATAAAGTTGTAAATAAATGTGTGCGATGCCATATACTTCCCTACATATTTGTACGTATTGGTACAATAAGTAAGTTGTTTACATACATTTATCTATGTTAATCTTTTTGAAGTCCTTGAACCCTTTGCACCGTGTTACAAGTGTATAACATGCTGAATTAGTTATATGGTAGATAGTAAGTTAAGAAGACATGCTATCATTTGAAGTTACTTAAGAAAGATATAAATTAATGTTATCTCTAAGTTTACATTTGTGTGTATTCTAAGTTTTAAAATCGCACGCCATACTGGGTTGGAGCGCTATGGTTTTGAAGTACTAAATCTTAGCGCCTACCTTTTCTCCTATTCTTTACACATATAATCATTTTAGGTCTATAATGGAAGGTCGTTAATAAAATTTAAAATAATTAAGTATAACAACAAAGCAAGATACATGATCCGATATTACATATATCTATATACCAAATAATAAAATGTTCTAGAACAAAATATTATCATTCACCATATAAATGTTTTTTTTTCTAATCTGTATGAAATTCGTCAGCATTTTTCCAAAGAATAATCAAATTATACATTTCTATTGTCTTTAATATCAATATTTGAAATAATTATGAAAAATATGTAAATTGTAGACCAATCCATTTTCACTGGTCTGCTGGATTTATTGTAAACAAAGATATTTCTCATTAAAACTAGATATTTGTTTGTTTCAATAATCAAAAAATATATATATACATGTACATGTGTCTGAAGATCCTGTATGTTGTAATTATGGATGTAACAACATTTAAGTGAAATTTTATACACATGTATTTATATAATTATTCTTCTTAAACAATTTTCAAACATCTAAGAATATGTTAAATATTACTGCAAATATTTATACGCATTATATGTAATGATTAAAATGTATGCATTCACTTCTAATTAAATGAATTTCTAATTACATCCCTTTATTTACATGAAATGAAAATTCGGTAACATCTTTGCAAATAATGCTTATGGAACTTGCAATATTGATAAATCTTTATTTGAGTTTCATATTTGTGATATAAAACCATATATTTTTTGTTACAGAATCTTTAATTATAGGAACATGCCTACAAATGACAGCTGCAATAAGGACAGTAAAAATGTTTTATAATTTCTTTCCTTGGTTGAAATAAGTAGACAGAGATTGACTGGGGGAAAAAGTCACATACAGGCATATGAGTGGTAATGGATAAGTTTCCATTTAGAAACATGTTTGTCCCGTCTTTTCACAAGAATTAATTAAAATAGTAACTGGGCATTACCTAGGAATAAGGTATCGGGTGTCTAAATGAGTTAAATGGTTGTCTATTGATTTAATGGCTTTTAACCTTTTTCAAAAAAGATCGATAATAGAAAAGTGTTCAATAACGGGTGGATTTCTCACCGCAAGCAATACAGCACAGCTTCAATCTCATTAAACCATTTGAAGACATTTTCTATAGGTCTTCTATATTCTAATATAAGCAGGAAAATAAAAACTAGTTAATAGATTTTTATCGTGATAAAAGAAAATCATGTTTGCCAATGGAAGTGAGGATTGATTGAAAGTCTTTTAGTCATTTTCAAGAGCTCACATTCAAGCATATCCAATACATTTTTTAATCGTAGCAAATAGCAGAAAAACAAACAATCAAAATGATTTTTGAAAGGTTACAAATTAAACGCTTATTATGAATCAAATGGTGATGTTTTACAGTTTTGAGTTATCTACTCTCGGAAATGTTCTAAAAGTACTTTAAAAATACTTATATTGAGGGACAGATAACTAAACAAGCACAATGGTGAATCCCATTTTTTTATTTATTTATTTATTTATCTATTTATTTATTTATTTTTTTTTTTTCTTCAGTTATAAATGATGCTCTTTAATCATGCGAGGTTCAAGAAAATCCTGTCCTTTGCTTATGAAAAATTGTATAAAAATCAGAAATGTCTCGTTTTCACAGAAACCCCTTTTTAACACGACACTATACACTATAAACCACTTTATGGCACCACCAAAATCAATATTTCAGTGCTTTGATTATCCATTTTGTCAGTGTTACCAAGTCGAGATTTTGAATGATTTTCACGTATGTGTAACTGTTTCATGAATTTCAAACCCAAAATATTTTACTGCACTTTCAACTATTTTTATAAATATCTTCAAAGGTTCACTAATCTTCATCGTAACTTCTAAAGACTTTTTTAAAACTCTTAACAGACTTGATTTTGATTTTTTCCTGATACATGTATATACTTATTACTTACATTAGATTTCTGTTGAATTCATGATGGTAGTAATATTTTGATCTAAACTCGTACATGTTAATATAAAATGCATTACACAGTAGTTGGATTGTAGTATTTTTATCTTCTGCACTTAATATTACCAGTGCAAAGTAGAATGCATTTCTTGTTTACTTAGATAGTGTCCTATATTTTGTTTAAAATTCATTTGCATTTTGTTTCTATATTTGTATATTTACTGAAATATTGATGGATAATAAACAGTATCTGAAATCAAAGAGATCGCAAAGTAAAAAGAAAATCTTACTTGTCAGGTAACCACACTATCCTGTAGATGTTGGATATATGTGATGTACAAAGTTATCTATCGCAGTATAACCTTGTATCTGGACACTCAAAGTATTCGGTCAAATTATTTGACGGTAAAAATTCAATTATGTCATAGTCTGAAATCTTTTGCACACTAAATAGATATGACAAGTAGAAAAGTAGCGTCCATTTCTCGATCTCCGTGTTTCCCAAATAGAAGATTGATAAGAAATATTATACAACATTATTGTTATCATCCTCATCAACATCATCACTACCATCATCACCGTCATCATTATTGCTACTACCATCATCATCACCATCATTATCATCAAAACCACCACAATCATCATCACCACGTTCATCATCACTACAACCATCATCATCATCATTAACAACAACAGTATAATCATTATCACCATCATCATCATCATCACCACCACCATTATCACCATCATCATCACCATCATCATCATCACCGCAATCATCATCATCATCATCATCTTCACTACTTCCATCATCATCATCATCATCATCATCAACAACAACAACAACAACAACAACAACAGTACCATCATTATCAACATCATCATCATTACCACCTTTATCGTCACCACTACCATCATCACCACCACCATCATCATTATCATCATCATCACCACCACAACCAACACAACATTACCGTTATCACTTCCACCATCATCACCACCATCATCATCAATACCATCATCATCATCACCACTACCATCAATAGCAGTAACTGTTATTGTTATGGTAGTTTCTGTGTGTTTTTGGTTTTGTAACGGCTGATGTTGTTATTGTTGTTGCTATAATAATTGTCGTGTTGCTGCATGTATATATGACCTCTGCGTAAAGGTCTTTTTTTTTTGTAAGTTGCTACATAACAACAATTATTAACCTATTTCGTGTTTTTCAAGGACTGTAATTAATTTATACCTATATGACGTTCTATATTAGTTCATTAAAAGGATAGTCCTTATAGTTAAAGTCTTATTTATGGCACATAATTATGCAGCAAGCCTAATATTAATTCATGCTAGTTTCAATATTTCACGAGTTTAGAAACTGATACTACATATAGATTCGACCTTCGTTTACATAATATAAAGCCGTGGCGCACAATTTCTCGGCCTAGTATTCATGCCTACATGTGACTAGGCACACACTTTTAGGAAAACGAATTACTGGAATATATTATACAGTAGAACTTCTATGTGTCGAACTTCGATTAGTCGATTGTCTCGATTTGTCGAAGTTAAATGAAAACTTCTAAATATAAGAAATGTACAAATATAGAGGTTTTGTTATTTAAAAGTGCATAGCCTTTTCTCAAGAGATAGAAAAATTCCGACGGTACTATACATTGATTACTTCTTAAAGGACCCTAATATGCTGACACACACATAAGGTTATCTGTCACAAACTAGGTCAAAAACG